AACTTCTTCATGCGGTTTTGAACCCTTCCTCATCCAGGTGAGCGCTCAGAGCCTTGAATGCATCTTTCTCTTGAAAGAGAGCACTTTCCAGGCTATGTTTGATTAAAAACGCTTGTTTGCAAGGTTGCTGGACAGCACGGGGGTCTGGAGTTTCTGGGAATCTTTGCTGTGCGGCTGTGATAGCTGTCCCTGATGGAGAAGACACCTCAAGCTGTGCTGTTCTGCATCCTTAGGCAAGGAGCGCCGGCCCCAGGCCGGGACCGCCGGGCGCCGCGCGCGGATGTCACTGGCCATGGCTGACGCTCCCATCGCCTCCCTGCTGCTTTTTTAGTAATTATTTTCCCTGTAGCAGATGGAGCTTCAGCCAGAGCCTCTCGAGCACGGAGAGCCTTGCAGCAGCGAAGCCAGGTTTCGTCTCTGCCAAAGCAGGGCAGGACTCGCTCCGACAGGGCAGCCGTGCACCTTCTGCCTGCTAGAGAGATGGGTTTGTGTGTGCAAGTGCCTAAAAACATGAGAGATCGGGGAGATCTCTCCTGGAGAACTGCCTGGGAAGGGTTGTACGGCTGCGCTGCAAAGGAAGAGCCTCAGGGGGAGCCTCCCACATGTAGGTCCCTCTTTGCAGGGCTAGCAGAGGGCTCCAGCCCTCTGCATCGATCTGTTGTTAATGCAGAGCGAGAGGTGCTTTCTTTGGTTTAAATTTCAGCTTTGGACTCGTCTCCAATGTTGCAGACCCAGGTTGTTCCAAATATTTGTATTCCAAGCATCCCTGTTCGTGTCCCCTGGTGAGTCTCTGAAGGTGGCCAGCCCTGCAGTAACTGGTTTCATTAAACGCTTAGTCCTAAAGTGGAGCTTGGTCACAGGAGGGAGTCTGAAGCTCATTAAATAAATTAGCGAGTGCATTCAGCACATCACCCGTCAGGAGAAGAGCAGAAGCGAAATCAGGGGGTTGTGCTAAAAGGCCATCAAGCCCTTTAGGATGAGTTTCCTTGACATTTCCTAATATGCTTTCAAAGTGCATCCAGGTGGTCCCAAATGTCACTCAGCTCCCAGGCTCCCCCTCGGAGCGGATGCGTTTTGGCCCTCCTTCGAGCACCGGGTGCTGCAGACATCCCCGTGCCTCTCCGCAGCCGCCGGGCTGCAGCAGCGGCC